AATGCGCCTCGGAAATCCAGGAATACTAGAATCGTGGGTCGCTCATACGTATGGCGTTGTTCTAGCACCTGACGCAGTGCGAAGATTTGCTCAACACAACCCCTACCAGGCCGGAATCCCGCTTGTTGCTCTCGAGTCAGTATCTCACGGGCCACCGTAAGGCGACGAAGCACAATTGACGCCAACAGTCTCGTTACAACCGGGGTCAGGCTGATACCCCTGTGGTTACCACACTCATTACGCGCTCCTATCACTATCACCGGCACTATCACCGATTCTCCCCAGTTGTCTGGGACAGACTCCTTTTCCCAAATGCAAGCAAACAGATCGGACAAGCGCTGACTGAGGACTTCACCCCCGTCTTTGAACAGTGCGGGTGGAAGGTCATCTGGACCGGGAGCTCGGTGGCGCTTGAGAGAACATATGCAGTCGTAAACCTCCTACGTGTTACCCGCCAAGGAATTCATAGACACGAGAGCAAGCGCTTGAACTCACGTTAAAGAACGGTTGACGGTTTCCTTCATGATACGATGTAATCTAAATTAAGGTGCGGTATATCTTAATATTTTGAACATAAACACTAATTCGCCGCAAACACAACGGTCTATCAATAAAGGCATCTACCTAGGCAGCATTGAGGTCGAGGAGTGAATTTAATCCGGAAAGGATATGTATTTTCACGCAAAAGTTCACTTTCAAAGGAAGTGCGTACGTGAAAACGCAAGTATGACTTACCGAGAACGGTTATCTGACACTCTTTGTTAAGCTTGTACAAACGAACAGCTTCTTTGAGTTCCCTGTCGGATGATATAACGCAAGGATCTTGTTCTTCGTCTATCCACTTCAGGGTAAATGGTTCGCCCCTGTTAAATTGACATAACTCGAGGACTTGGGAACGCATTGAGTTGAGATCGGCATCGGCAGGCAAGCTGGTGACCATCGCAATACTTAATGGGTTTTAAAGTTACAAAACGGTCCTTACGAATTATGTATATATTTTATTGCTACTTCCTCCCCTTCAACAGTCATTTTAGACCAAATATCATACACGAGATGGATGGAGAGTGGAGAGCGCAGTGAAGGGGGCCTTCACAGTCCGGACTCGGCGTTCGGCGCGTACGGAGATAGGCGGACAGCGCAAATACTGAGTGCTCATTGGTCCAATATTCTAACGGTCAAAAATGATGGGCTTACGAGTCCTTGAGTGAACATATTCAGCAGTTCACCATTCCTCACTAGTCCACCGAATTGGAACCACTTCGCCTTCCGTACCATTTTGACCAGCAAAATCTGCCTGGAGCTGTATCCGGCTTTTAAGGGACAAGGGTGCCTCACAATGGTTCACACTCGAGATCTCTTGGCAACGCTCCTGTGGTATCTGTTAGTGGCAGGGTTAAATATTTCGCACGAGGGACGGAGCGTTGACTGGAACGCTTTTACTTGCGTAGTTTGCAAAGCCCTGTCCTGGACCGTGGTTCGAAAAAGGAAAACTTTAACATAAAGTTTCAGGATTTGACGGTAAGTATTCGGGCCATTCCCCACGCGGCCACAGTTTTGGTGAAAGTTGTTTGAACCTATTTAAGGCTCATTGAGGGACTTTGTTGGAAGGTTATCCCGTCTACGTTTTCTCCCTTCAGTGCGTTTCACCTTACTTTGAGAGAGTACGTGACCAATAATTTCGTGGGTTTCGTCCTCGTAAGCCCCAAAAAGAGCAGCAGTTCGCTACATGTATATGAAAAAGCATTCTGCCGTTGTAGCAGACGTCCCTGCAAACAAAGTCAAGGCCGTAGAATTCGCTGCACCCAGTATGTTTGTGGCTATTTCTGTGCACTCGGCAGCACATTTTGCACTGATTGTCTGGAAAGATTCCATGCTCTCCGGTACTGCGACTACTTGATGGTTACTTCTTACCAAGTGGGGCACAAACAGGCTCTGACAGGCTCTCTGACAGGCTTTCAATTACCGGAGCCCGACAAACGATGAATTAAGACATTGTGGTGCCCTTTTGATGTATGGTGGTCCGTCGTCGGCGATTCGGAAACACATCACTGATCATTTCGCAAGGGTACTTAATAAGTATCGCGTCAAATGCGACCTCCATTGTTAGGTGTGTCGGTGGTTACCATTTGATTTTTTAGGGGGAATGTCATCCATCATATCCAAGCTCGACTACGTGGTCGCATACTACTGGTGGAATCGGGACGTGGCAGTTTTAGCCACCTGTGCTTTTCTGGAACGCAGAAGACTGACGTTTCCCTACGTAGTAAACGTTGCTACAACGCGCGGGGCCGACCGTCATGGGTAAATAATTCACGGGCCCCTGAATTTCACTGCAAAGGTACAAGCTATATACATTCCTTGTGACGGATGCCACGGGCCTCGGTTGACACGTAATTTATGCCTTCGTTCAAAGCAAGCATTGTGTGTCTTTGCGCAGATTGTTCTGCTTGTTCAAGGATACGATGGATGAGCAGTATTCGGTCAAAACTTTCATCATGGACTAGATGATCTCGCAGATGCGGGTTGCCAAAATGTGTTCGGTTGCGATATAATGCTGTGCTATTTTCGCAAACGGCGAGCCATCCAAACGCACACGCGTTCCATGGCGTTGCCGCAACTTATGTAGACGGTTTCTAATCGCAGCTGGCACAATTTCACCGCATAGCTCGCTTTGATAACGCATGAGGCGGTGCACCGAACATTGTTTGCGTAGGTTTTACCAAAATTTACAGATCCTGTGGGGAACCAAACCAGGGTTTTTCTCCTACCTGACTGCCCACTGGTTGTACATCACCCGATAGGGAGCTATTCATGCACAGTGTGGGTAAGTACATTCTGGGAATGTGACCAATAACAGCCTGGAGGACGCTAACGGGCGTTTGAAGAAGCGCGTGCATCCCGCCAATATCCTGGAGTACGCCATGCACAAGCTCTCTCAGCACCGCGAATGGTTCATGTACGAGTATTATGTGCACACCAATTATTACTCTGACCACCAGCAAAGCCGCGAGGGAGACAGCCACACTATGCTTATAGTTTCACAGACGACGACGGACGCCGCCAATCAAGTTCTCAGGTACATTGAAATGTGCACGCAAAATCTGATGTACCATCAGACAGATCGCTTCAAGGTGAGAAGCCCGTTGTTAGCAACAGTCAGCTTGTGGTACAAACCACAAAATGTCCTCAGATGGTTAACACATCGGCCGAAACCTGCACGTACACCTTCCACCAAACTATGTGGGTACCCTGTGTGCATCTATTCCGGGTATTCAGACACCACTGATGTAAGCTGATTGATCGAACATACAGTGTGCAGGTCAATTTCTAACCCATCAACGGTGGTTTGCTGAATATGACCCACCAGAAAGAGGTATACTTCTATCTCTGGTTTCAAAGCCATAGCCGTCATCGATATAATGTCTTCACAAGCAGCTAGAACGGTTGGTTATCTAGCTGAGGCTATGGGAACCACGCAAGTCTGCTAGATGAATGAAGCATCTGATCATCAAACGCAGCTGGTGTGGCGTCGAAATTCAAGCAGTGCACAGCCCCCAGTGTCGGAGGATAACCGTTCCCAACAAAGGCAGCCTTCTACGTCGGAGGACGCTGCACGCTGCGGTCTCTTTGGCCAGCGAACGGATTCTGCTAATTGCTGATATCCGTGAAAGACACTAGCGCGTCACCGTTATTGCTGCAGCAGCGAGCCTTGCCAACTATGTGGGGAAAATCTTCAGGTTCGTCTATCAGGTGGGTGCGCACGCATCAGTTAAACCATTCTCTTTGTTTGCCGGTCCGTCGCGCAAACGCGGCTAATTTAAAGAGCTTGATTTGATGTCGATCTCGACCGGTCCATAAAGGCCCAGCTTAGCGGCCAGGTAAGGCAGTCGGAATAAAACTATTTTGCTCAACTTCCGAGCAAATGGAGGCCGCAAATTTGGGGCCTATTTACAAGTGCACGTTTTATGGACCCTGCTTTCGAATCCCAAGTTGACGGGGAATCTGTCTGATTGCTCTGTGACCTCGAAGGCACAACTCATGGCTAAGTTCGGGTGTCAACCATCCCCAAAAAGTGGAGCCACCTGTACGCCAGCCTCGTTTACCCCACATTAGCCTCACATTGCTTTGCGTCAAATGCTGAGTCGATGAAACCGGGCGGTCCCGAACAGGTGGAAATTAATCCCTCATCCCCGATAATGAGAATAACAAAGCACTAAGTGAGTAAGCAAATTAATTTTCATCACTTCAGTTTTACATCACTCTCGTTTTGAACAGCCGTCCACCTGTCCTGAAGCAATTATTCATGTGAATCTACACCAGAGGGGGAAGCACATGACTCGAGTTTTGCTCTTGTTAGAGCTCGTCAGCAGTCCATATTACATGGCCGTACCGGGTTGGAACTCCGGACATCTAACACGCAAGAAGAACGTGTTACCACTATTCCACAAGCGCACCTTGGACGCATCTGAATTCACACAACAACTCAAACACCGGGCACAGCCACTGGATATGTACTGCTGATGAGTTCTAACAAGAGCGAAATTCGAGTCCAGTGCTTCCAAACCCTTGTTGTGGGTTCACATGAATAATTGCGCCAGGACAGGAGAACGACTGTTCAAAACGAGGGTGATGTGAGAATGAACAATACAGCTCCCGAAAACCCCCCACGTGCATCATATTTTCACCACATTAAGATGCTTAAATGCTACTATCGATAATTGATTGCTGGTAAATTTTCTCTTTCCGAATCGTTTTTCCCTGAACTTGATTTTCAGAAAACGATAACCGGAGTAGCTATCACTTACGCTTGTAATGGCAATGCCTACGAATAAAAACGCAATTTGCTCAAGGTATTTTCGTGAAATTGTGGCGGCACATTATTCACGCATACAATTATGAGCATGAAGGGCCATCGTTGGCCGTCGGATTAGGATACCGTGGATAGCTAAAGCCTGATAATCAGCGTCGCGTATAGATACTAGCCTTGAAGTTAGAGATAGTAGCCAAGGTAGGCAATAACGCGTGTAGTTGAGTACGGTGTTCGCCTTCCGCCGTCAGATTACGTTTGTGTGCATAGGTGAGGCCACGGCTCACCGGTTTGCATAAATACTGACCTGTGGTTTATCATTAACAGCAAAGATAAGCAAAACGCGTACAGTATGAGTATGAAGAATTTCGTTGGATTCGGGTAATGCGCATAATCAACGCTTCATAATCTACTATGCACATGAACACGGACCTAACGGATACGATAAATATCCAAGTTAGGCGGCTCCAAGCACAGTGATGAGTAGAGCAGGCCGCCAAATTAGGCTATCAAGCATAGTCAAGGCCTTGCTCGGATATGTGCTGTCTCGGTGTTTACTATAGATAGCAAAGATAAGTTGTATTGCGCACAGTTTTGAGTATGACGTCCGTCAGCGTCGCTCATACACACGGAGGCAGTAGTTACGATAAGTGGCCAAAGTGAGTGAAGCAGTGAACCCGTGAAGTGATGCCACGGTGTGTTGAGCTAGTGCGCTCAAGTGTATGAGTCGCTTTAGTCTATGAGTTTGTAGCCCATTTCGCCTATACGCAAAGTTGTAACAGCCCTCTGAGTATATTCCCAAACAAAATCAAACGGAAACAATTTCCTTAAGCGAGGAAAACCTCAAGACTGTTGCGTTGAGCGAAAAAGTAAGGGCCCTTAGAAGCCTTGACACGGCAAGCAAGGAAGACGAAGCAGGGAAGACATAAATGGCGATCCTGAAATGTGCTCCAAAATATTCCCCCCTAGCTGGTCGTCAAAGTGAGTGTGCCTTTCATCTGCCTATGATTAAGGTCTTTCAGTCGATCAGCGCAAAGGAGTTATACGTACTTAGAATGGGAGTGAAGCACGTTTAAATCGCTGGGAGCATCTCAGAGGTACCCGGTGGCTGGAAATGACCGTTAATCCCGCGCTGAATTCACGTGTATGACATACCCTTGGTTAAATGAAGGGGGCCTGACGATTTTTGGATATGGGGTGTATGTGACTGCCTTGAATTTTAACTTGCTGAAACTTCAAGGTACATCCATACTTCGGTGGAAAGCGGCAACGGATCAGTAAGGCGATGGTGGCGCATGCG